TATATATATATATATATATATATATATATATATATAATAATAATATATATATATAATATATATATATATATATATATATATATATATATATATATATATATGTATATATATATATATATATATCAACCTTGACTCAAACGGCTCGTGACTCAAACATACACACGCCATGAACGCAACCGCCCTTTTTCCCAATTTAGGCGCCGCGTGAGATCTATTTATAGTACCCAATCGCATGCGTCTCCGTATCGCCCGTGCACCCTACCTGGTCAATCACAGCCGCACTCTCGGGGAAGTCTTCGCCCTCAGTGATGCGCTTGATCTTTGGCTTGAGCACTGTGGTCAGGTACGCTTGCGCAAAGGCGCTGACACTAATGGTGATGTCGTCGATATCATTTTCCAGGAAGACAAACATCAGGGACGAACACTTGCCTGTGGAAGATAACGCAGAATGTGTCAATCCGAGGAGAATAGGACAGATGAGCCCCATGGACCTAAAAACAATAGACCTACAAAACAATAGACCTAAAAAACAATAGACCTAAAAACTATAGACCTAAAAACCAATAGACTTAAAAACCAATAGACTTAAAAACCAATAGACCCAAAAACAACAGACCTACAAAACAATAGACCTAAATAACAATAGACCTAAAAAACAATAGACCTAAAAAAACAATAGACCTAAAAACAAGACCTAAAAAAATAGACCTAAAAAACAATGGACTTAAAAACAATAGACCTAGAAAACAATAGACCTAAAAAATAATAGACTTAAAAACAATAGACCTAGAAAACTATAGACCTAAAACAATAGACCTAAAAAACAATAGACCTCAAAAACAGGTGAGCCTTATAGACCTAGACACACGGCATGACGGCGCAGATGAGGATATGCGCTAAATGGGCTTGATTCCGGAGCGGTGGATTCATGATAAGTGCCAATACAAGGCAAAGCAAGTGCATGTGGTGGAGTCACCGATGGGGTGAATAGAATAGACGGATCACATTGAGATGGGTTAATCATTGCACCTGTGCGTGAATGTGTAACTGTACGGATGGGCCTTTCAGAGCGGCAGTACGAATCTAGTGATATGAAGCCACAGGCGTAGTCAGTTGTTTCTATCTGAGAATGGAATGTCCTATCCCACCCGAGAGTGCTCCTACAAGGCCGTCTTCACAAATACCACGACTTCACAGGTATCTGTAAACACCCCAGGAGAGTACAAGCCTTAACATTTATATACCCAGCTCACTCGCACACTCATACCCAACTGGTCCCACACACGCTCCATCGCCGTTGCCATCTGATCATTCGTCAGAGTCTTCACGCCGGTGTATACAGTATAGCTGTTGTTCTCCTTCTGCGCTTTCTCGAGTTTCTCCAAGCAAGCAATGGTCACCAACCCCAACTGCTCCACAAGCTTAGCCAACTCGTCCATACAGTCTTCATCTTCAGCCGCCTGTAAGGTTCAAATAATGCATAGAAATATATATATATATGGATGTATATATATATATAAGTATATATGTATATA